ATTACATCTGAAGAACCCCAGAAGCTGGTTACAGACTGTTACATCTGAATAACCAGTGAAGCTAATTAGAGACTATTACATCTTAAAAGTACCAGTAAAGCTGGTTAGAGACTATAACATCTGAAGAACCAGTGAAGCTGATAAGAGACTATTACATCTGAAGAACCAGTGAAACTGATTAGAGATTATAAATTAATTTTTCAGACTTGTTCTGGACTTCATATCTTTGGAAAACTTTTTTTTCTCATTTAATATATATTGTATAAAAACATTTAAATGTGAAAAATCTTGATCAATCAATCCAAAATATCCAATTACTTAAAAAAAGAGAGAAAAGCTACCAAGAGGTTCAAGAGAGTTCAACAAAAAACAGTCAACACCACAACAAAAATAAAAGCACTGAGTTCCATTGTCCCAAGTGATGCACACATTTTATCTGTCCCATGACAATAACTCAAAAAAAAATTTTAGTTCTTTAAAAACTTTTGATTAATATCTTACAGAAATGAAAATTTGAAAACTCTAAGGCTAGAATTTTTTTTAACTTGTTGGTTTATGGATCCGCTGACCCTTTTTTTCCAATTTTCAGAAAGAAAAAAAATTAACATTTCATGCTTTTTCATTCCTGCAGACCCTAAGAAATACATTATCCATGGAATATGAATAAAAATATCTGCCTAGCAGCATTTTCCTGAAATTAAACGCAAGGCTGTCAGAGTGACAGCAAACCAAATTTTTTAATATTTATTTGTGTCTTGGCATTTTTCAATATCACAAGGACCATAACTCCTGAACAGTAAAAGTGACAATCATCAATATTGAACTTGACTTCCATTTTGTCATCAGTAACAACATATTAAAATTTGAAACGCTTTGGTTGAACGGTTCATGAGTTAAAGCACAGACACGACTGGAAACACCATTTTTCAATCTTTCAAGAACCATAACTCCTGAACAGTGAAAGTGAAAATCGTCAATATCGAACTTGACCTTCATTTTGTCATCAGTAACAAAATATTAAAATTTGAAAAGCTTTGGTTGAACGGTTCATGAGTTAAAGCACAGACACGACTGGAAACCCCATTTTTCAATCTTTCAAGAACCAGAACTCCTGAATGGTGAAAGTGAAAATCCTCAATATCGAACTTGACCTCCATTTTGTCATCAGTAACAACATATTAAAATTTGAAAAGCTGTTTGGCAGCCGCCCGCCTGCGTTACATCCCCAAATCTATAACGGATTTTTCCTTCAGAAATCCGGTTAAAAATGATTACACATTGTGTTTTAAAAAAAAATAATATCTAAAAATAATCCTTAGTGTTTGCATTTCTAAAAATAGACAATCAAAACTGACCTTGAAATGTTTTTGGTGCAATTATTTTACAAAACGAAACCTGTGTTAAAAACCCATTACAATATTTTTTGTTATAATTCTGTAAGATTTTTCATCTCATAGATGAAATGAATCCTTTGAAACAGGAAAGAAGTCAAGTTAAAAGAAAAAGATATCCACAAATAATTGGGAATTTTCTTATTTCATAGAATGAAAAAAATGTTCATCCATTTGGATATAAAAAAACAGGATAAACTAACAAAGGATGAAACTGATATCCTTGTCTTTCCGGTGGACGGCTCTACTTTGTTAAAGGCATTGATAGTCAAGCGTTATTTTCGTGCAACGTGATTGCAATTTTTATTTCACAAGCTTTTGTGCTTGAATATGATTATTGACCATGTCTCCTTAAATTTGATAAAAAGCAACATATTGCTGTTTTTTTTCATTCTTAAAATGACCATTTTATTTTCCTGTTTTTCAGTAGACATACCCCCCTCCCCCCTTTTACAAACTTATATGGATATGACCATGGGATGCCTTTTATGTTTTAAACATCTGAGCAATAATATTTGGAACTAAGAAATTATGACAAAAAAGCATAACAAAAATATTGTTAGTAAGCTGAAAGATATATATTTTTATATACATATTTCTGTCTTGTAAGAATTTTTTTTCTTTTTTTTCCTGACCAACTGACCCTACTTTTTCACATAAAAAAATCCATAAACCATCATACTAAAAAAAATTTCCATACAATTAATATTTCCAAGGGACATAATTCTTTTAAAAATTGTTGATCGGCACTGATTTTCTAAATTGTAAGAGACATCGCTGATATAAACCTTTGATATGAATCAAATATATATCTGTCAAGAATTGTACACATATGAGCACTTAAAATGCAATTTTTCATATAAATAATATTTCCAAGGGACATAACTTAAAATAAAATGCTTCGCTGGGCGCAGCTTGATACGACCGCAGAGGTCGAACCCTGAACAGTTGGGGCAAGTATGGACACAACATTCAAGCTTGATACAGCTCTGAATTTGGATTGTGATTAAATATTTGACACAGCATAGGTTTCTGACACAGAAAGAATGTGGTCTAAGAACTTCAATTTTTTTAATTTACCTATTATGGTCCAATGTCCAAAATCAAAATACATGGTTAGATTCAGCATATCAAAGAACCCCATATATTCAATTTTTGTTGAAATCAAACAAAGTTTAATTTTGGACCCCAACTTGGACAAACTTGAAAACTGGTCCCATAATCAAAAATCTAAACACATGTTTAGATTCAGCATATCAAAGTACCCGAAGAATTCAATTTTTGTTAAAATCAAACTAAGTTTAATTTTGGACCCTTTGGACCTTAATGTAGACAAATTTAAAAAACGGGACCCAAAATTAAAAATCTAAAAACACGGTTAGATTTGGCATATCACAGAACCCCAATAATTCAATTTTTGATGAAATCAAACAAAGTTTAATTTTGGACCCTTTTGACCTCAATATAAACCAATTTGATAGCGGGCCCACAAATAAAAAATCTAAATACATGGTAAGATTCAGCATATCAAAGAACCCCATATATTCATTTTTTGTTGAAATCAAACAAAGTTTAATGTTGGACCCCAATTTGGACCAACTTGAAAACTGGGCCAAAAATCTAAAATCTAAATACATGTTTAGATTCAGCATATCAAAGAACCCCATATATTCAATTTTTGTTGAAATCAAACAAAGTTTAATTTTGGACCCCAACTTGGACCAACTTGAAAACTGGGCCCATAATCAAAAATCTAAACACATGTTTAGATTCAGCATATCTAAGAACCCTAAGAATTCAATTTTTGTTAAAATCAAACTAAGTTTAATTTTGGACCCTTTGGACCTTAATGTAGACCAATTTAAAAAACGGGACCCAAAATTAAAAATCTAAATACACGGTTAGATTCGGCATATCAAAGAACCCCAATAATTCAATTTTTGATGAAATCAAACAAAGTTAAATTTTGGACCCTTTGGACCTCAATGTGGACCAATTTAAAAACGGGGCCCAAAATCCAAAAACTTAATACACGGTTAGATTCAGCATATTAAAGAACCCCAAGAATTCAAGAATAAAACCCCATTGAAATTGATCAAGAAATAAGCAATTTATACGAAGTATCTTCTTTTGCACAATACTGTGCAATTGAATATTTCTTGCTATTGCGCAATACTGTTTAATTGACAATTTCTTGCTATTGCGCAATATTGTGCTATTGGATATTTCTTGCTATTGTGCAATACTGTTAAATTGAAGATTTCTTGCTATTGCGCAATACTGTGCAATTGAAGATTTCTTGCTATTGTGCAATACTGTGCAATTGAAAATTTCTTGCTATTGCACAATACTTATTATATAATAATTTACACATCCTGTTTGGTGTGTATCTCCTACCATATCATTATTATTTGCTTTTAAATATAAATCAGAAATAACCAAATTAAAATGGAAAATTTTAAAAGAAAAAAAAAAGGAATAAAAAAAAAAAAAAAAAAAAAAATCCCCCCCCCAAATTTTTTGAACCCCCTTATGATTCATCACCCCCAAACTCAATCCCAGCCTTCCCTTTGTGGTATGGTACCTTGCAGTACAATTTCAGAGAGATCCATACACTTGAACACAAGTTATTGTCTGGAAACTAGAAAAATGCTTATTTTTGGCCCCTTTTTGGCCCCCAATTCCTAAACGTTTCGGGCAATTACCTCCAAACTCAATTCCAGCTTTCCCTTTGTGATATGGAACCTTGTAGTACAATTTCAGAAATATCCAAACACTTACACACAAGTTATTGTCATGAAACTAGAAAAATGCTTGTTTTTTGCCCCTTTTTTGGCCCCTAATTCCTAAAATTTTGAGGCAATTACCCCCAAAATCAATTACAGCCTTCCCTTTGTGATATGGAACCTTGTGGTACAATGTCAGAGAGATCCATACACTTACACACAAGTTATTGTCTGAAAGTTACAAAAATGCTTATTTTGGCCCCTTTTTGGCCCCTAATTCCTTAACTGTTGGTACCATAACCCCCAAAATCAATCCCAACCTTCCTTTCGTGGTATTGAACCTGATGGTGAAATTTCATGGAGATCCATTCACTTAAACTAAAGTTAGAGTGCGAAAACCAATGTGTCTTCGGACGACGCCGGACGACGACGACGACGACGACAACGACGACGACGACGACGACGACGACGCCAACGTCATACCAATATACGACCAAAAAATTTTTAATTTTTGCGGTCGTATAAAAAAAAAATTGATTGGCACCGATTTGTTTTGCATTATCGGAAAAACATCTAGAACAAGAATATCTATACAAAGGACAGGAAACCATGCCCTACTAACATTATCACATTTCCATGTTCAGTGAACTGTGAAGTTTAAGTAAAAACCCTACTTTGAAAAATATTTTTAAAAGTTCACATCATAATGAACATGTGTGCTTAGTTTCAAGATGATGTGACCACAACACAATGGTAAACTCCCTAAAACCTTTTTTTTTTTAAATCTGATACTGAACTTGCTAAAAGTAGAATGGATGCACAGACCAAAAAAAACACAATGCCCTCTACTATCCTGAGCAGGGCATAAGGAGAACATATTTACCTTTTCAGTCTGTAAGCTCTGTACAGTAGATTTGAGTTCCTCTTCCCTCTCAGCTAATTTTTTCTGCAATTCTGTTGACAAAGTTTGTAGTTTTTCTTTTTCCATTGTTAAATTTTCTTTTTGTTCCATGACTTCTTTCAGCTGAGGAATAAAAATAAATGAATATTTTAAATTAGTTAAGAGCAGCACTGTTTGACCTGAAAACAAATGGTAAATTTTAGAGATGTCACATAAACTCTTTCTAAAATATATATAAATGGATTCACTTACAAAAAAATACTTCATTTATTTCAATATTTATTAATGCTTTATCTTGTTTCTGTGTTTAGGAAAGACAAAACTAAAGTGCATGTGTCGCTCACCTGCATCTTCAACAATGGCTACTTTTTTGTAAAAATCATCATGAAAGGGCATTAACTTCAATAAGCAGTCGACTGATGATTTCGATCATGTTGACTTATTTGTAGATCTTGTCCTGCTGATCAATTTTTCATTTTAAAGTTTCTATCATTCTATTATAGTTTTTTGAGATATTAGGCAAAGATGCATAAAACTGGTAAAGAATCGTCATTAAAGAGCAATAACTCCAATAAGGAGTCGTCTGAAGATTTTAGCCATGTTACCTTATTTGTAGATCTTGTATTGTAATCATTTTTCCTAATAAAAGTTTCTTTGTTACTATTATAATTTTCAAAATAATAGACAAAAATTAAAAAAAATTGATAAAATTTCACTTTTAATGGCAACAATTCCTACAAGAAGTCGTCTGACAGTTTTGGCGTAAATGGACAGCAGGTAGATCTCAACATTTTCAATATTTTTACCCTGTTAGATTTTCTCTATTCATAGCGGTTTTAAAGATGATAGACAAAACTTGCAGTTTACCACTATCTTCTATTGTTAGCTATGTGGGCCATCTTGGTTGGCAGGCGGGATCATCAAACTCATTTTTTAAACTAGAAACCCAAATAATGATTGTGGCCAAGTTTGATAGGGCACAGGACATTTGCGCTTTTTTACCTGTAACACGATAGGACAGTTGCGCTCCAAACACTATGAACATTTGCACTTTTTTACCTGTAACACGATAGGACAGTTGCGCTCCAAACACTATGAACATTTGCGCTTTAAATTTTCATACACCTGTATCAAGTTGACCGGACATTTGCGCTTTTTACCTATAGTCGTCTACCTGTAATTTTAATGAGTTGTAATCATTACGTAAATAAATTCAACTTATATTTGTGGTTAGTTAGTTCACATTGACATAGTCTTAAACATAGAGTTTTAAGTTATAGACCAGTAAAGGAAAAAAATGTATATGTCACAAGGATTCTTATCATTGAACAACAGTCGGTTAATTACATTAAAATTTGTTATATTGATGAACAGGTACCTCAGTCAAGATTTGAGAAAGAGAAACTAGTGAAATGTGGGCGAAATACCAGTCAAGACAGATTACAAGAGCTATACTTGTTCATTCCCTAAGCTTCAGATATCAAGCGAAAACTGACCTGTGATGACTATACGTGTCTTTATGTCTTTAAAATATTTACTTTTAGCTATATATAACTATATTCAAATTGATGTGCTATGAAATGACTTTTAAACACGAATGTGCTATGAAATGACTATTAAATTTTAACCTTAATGAAAATTATGACTTTAACTCTGCCAGGTCAAACCTACCGGTCCTAAGCCCGGATAAAATAGGAGGGATGTCATAAGAAGCAAATATTGTAAAAGTGCAAATGTCCATTCAAAAAAGCGCAAATGTCCTATGAAAAAGCGCAAACGTCCCGCGCCGGTTTGATTACATTTGGCCTAGTAGTTTCAGAGGAGAAGAATTTTGTAATAGTTTATGACGATGACGGATGAAGGATGCCAAGTGATGAGAAAATCTCACTTAGCCTTTTGGCCAGGTGAGCTAAAAATGAGACTGCTTTGGTGGTTTCATGTTCACTTGGAGTGAAAGAGGTAAAAGTCTTATTTCTTGTCTAGTATTTGCTCTATTCCACTAGAGATGCAGCTCTCAGGAGTAAGATTAAAATTACTCAATAAAGAGTCAGAAAAGAGGGGAATGTATTCCTACACCCTCACCCTTTTCAAACTGTGTGATTGGTTGACCATTGTTGATGGGTTCATTATAACCTGTAAATGTTTATTTTGTTTATTTTGTTTATCTTGTATTGTTGTGTTGCTGTATCATTGATGTTCACCCCACATTTCTTGTTATTCCTACTGAAATGGTTACCACTGTGTTTGTATAATAGTACAGTTACAATACCAACATTGCGGTAATCCTTTTTTTTTAAGTAGTATTCAGTATAAGAACATGTTAATGCGATATGAATATAAACCCTGCTTTGTACTAAACCTGTACTCTGCATTGTCAATATAATAGCTCACAAGGAAACACACAGAATGTAAATTGCTCTGAGCCTGGACATACTGAAAATAAATTCTACAAAATCTATATTGAAAGAAAAATACAGTCAGCTATAATCACAGACATGATACAGGAACATATGACAGGGATACCTTATCTGTTATTAAAGTAATATTATTTTACCTGATTGTTCAATTGTTGTTCTGTTGATGATGACTTTTGTTGATAAGATTCTGTCTCTTTCTTTAATGATGTCACTTCCTGTTGGTGTGCTACCTGAGCCTATGGAATATAAATAAAACCGATCTCAGTTTGGTAATATAGATTTTTATTTTCTTTGTAGTGTTTTGTGAATTTAAATGTCTTTTTATCATCTTTGTTTTTTGCCATGACATTGTCAGATTCTTCGACTTTCTTAATTTGAATGTCCCCTTGGTATTTTCTGCCATTTTTTTTCAAATAGCCTTATATCCCCTCCCTTTCCTTTTTTCTGAAAACCTACACACATTTGTATTCTATGTAAAAGTGAAGTAAATGAACTTTAGAGTATCAGTATTTCTTTATACCTGTTATGTAAAAAGTTTAACATCAAGAATTCTGGAACCCATCAGCCAAACTTTCTAACAAAGTACAAAACTGGCTAACACATGAAAACCTTTCTCATGATACATTTCTAAGGTATTGTGAGATGAGCATTACCAATGCTATAAGCCTTATGATTGTTGTTTTTTCTATGAAATTGTTAAATATCCTGATAGTAAGTTCTAAGAAAAGTTGTACTAGAGGCTCCAAGGAGCCTGTGTCGCTCACCTGATATTTTTGTTGACAATTGATGCATGAAATAATGTAACAATAAAACATTTTTTAAAGAAAACTTTGTGGATCAAAATCTAATCTTTCTTGTGATTTAACTGCTTTCAACCAGTTTATTATCTTCAGTTTTCAAGTTTAAAACACACTTTTCAAGTATTTTGTGTTGCTCTCTAATGAACATACATTTTTATATATATTTGTTCTAAATCATTACTGGTAAAGGATGCAGATATTATCAAGTACAAAATAATATTCCTTATCACTTGTTATATATTTATTTTATCAATAAATATTCATGAAAGTTATTTTTAAGAACATAGATAAATGATATGAAAATTTTTTGTCGTCAGAAATATATTTATCAATAACAAATCAAGAATACCGAAAATTTGTGTTAAAGCATTCAGAAGAATATCTCATGAACCTTTTGTAACAAACGCTGGAAAATATGAATGTTGGGTTGTCAGATCTGTCTGAAAATTTCAGTGCAGATGGTTTCAACCTGATGAACATTTTAAGCCGTCAGATTGCTTTAAATGCTTTAAAAGTTTCAAATATACAAGCCAAAAACTGCATTATACACCTATGTTCTATTTTTAGCCATGTCGGCCATGCAGGCAAGGTCATCAGACACATTTTATAAACTAGATACCCCAATGATGATTGCGGCCAAGTTTGGTTAAATTTGTCTCAGTAGTTTTAGGAGAAGATTTTTGTAAAAAGATTACAAAAATTTACATAAATTGTTAAAAATTGACTATAAAGAGCAATAACTCCTTAAGGGGACAGTTGACAATTTTGGTCATGTTGACTTGTATATAGATCTCACTTTGCTGAACATGATTGCTGCTTACAGTTTATCTCTATCTATTTAATAATATTCAAGATGATAACCAAAAACTGCAAAATTTCCTTAAATACCAATTCAGGGGCAGCAACCCAACAATAGGTTGTCTGATTCGTCTGAAAATTCATGAGCATGTAGATCTAAACCAGTTTTACCCCAGTCAGGTTTGCTCTAAATGCTTTAATTTCAGAGATATAAGCCAAAAACTGCATTTTACTCCTCTGTTCTATTTTTAGCCATGTCCGCCATCTTAGTTGGCAGGCGGGGTCATCGGACACATTCTATAAACAAGATACCCCAATGATGATTGTGGCCAAGTTTAATTAAAATTTTCTCAGGAGTTTCAGAGGAGAAGATTTTTGTAAAAGATTAAAACAAAATCCTTAAAATTACCAATTCAGGGGCAGCAACCCAACAACAGAATGTCCGATTCATCTAAAAATTTCAGGGCAGATAGATCTTGACCTAATAAACAATTTTACCCTTTCAGATTTGCTCTAAATGCTTTGGTTTCAGAGATATAAGCCAAAATCTACATTTTACCCCTATGTTCTATTTTTAACCATGGCGGCCATCTTGGTTGGTTTGCCGGGTCACTGGACACATTTTTTAAACTAGATACCCCAAGTTTGGTTTAATTTGGCCAAGTAGTTTCAGAGGAGAAGATTTTTGTAAAAGTTACCGACGACGGACGACAACGACGGACGACGACTGACGCCAAGTGATGAGAAAAGCTCACTTGGCTCTTTGGGCCAGGTGAGCTAAAAATGAGAAGTGTAACTTAGTCTACAAATTCTTTATTCAAAAACTGATTTCAATACAAAAACATGGGAAGCAGGCATTCTTAAAGTCCAATAACATTAATTAAAACATTAGTCATTAAGATTTTTCCTACAGTGAAAAGTGCTCAATTTTCATGACACTTTCCTAAAACTCTTTTTAAGAATTAGATATTTGACTTTCAATTATAATTTAAACCTAGTTATCTCCCTTGCTAAGTCGAAAACCAGAGCAACAGTGAGATATCAAACATAATCATTGATAGTTTGAAATATAATAATGTTCAAGCTTAATTTTTTTTACCTATGACAAGTATCAATAAATCAAAACCCAAATAAATATTAATACTATACACCTATCAATATTCACTGTCCTACATTCTATCGATACTTATATTTTGGCATTGCACAAGATCATGTTTTTCTCTGACTGGTAATGACGTCTTTACACTAAATCCATAGGATGTTGGATGTGTACTGATTGATATTCTAGTCTTAGATACATGATTCTTTTATTAGTTGTTATTGGCTTTAAACTAGCTTTCAGTAACTGCGAGTACTCTTAGATCTGTACTTTTTGTCTTTCATGTTTTTGTTAGTTTTTTAAGTGCTTTGTATCAAACTTGTGAGTTCAGCCCTTTTCAACTGATTTTTATAGTTTGTTCTTATGTTGTGCTGTTACACCAATGTCATACGTTAGGGGAGGGGTGTGCAATCTCAAACATGTTTAACCCTGCCACATTCTCTATGTGCCTGTGTCAAGTCAGGAGCATGTAAATCAGTGGTTGTTGTTTGTTGCTGTGCATCATCTTTGTTTTTCGTTATTGTTTTGCACATAAATCAGGTCATTAGTTTTCTCGTTTGAATTGTTTTACATTTGCCATTTCAGAGCCTTTTATAGCTTGTTATGAAGTATGAGTTTAGCTAATTGTTGAAGGCTGTACAGTGACCTATAGTTGTTAACTTCTACACCATTTTGTCTTTGGTGGAGAGTTGTCATACCACATTCTCTTATTTTCATAAGTTAGAAGGAGAGAATCATATGTAATTCCATATTTCATATTACATGCAAGAAACAGGGATTAAAAATTGCTATTCCTTAAATCTTCATTGCTACACTCCTTAAATCCTAGTGAAAAAAATCTCAACTACAATCATAAACAAGTTGAAAGTTGGCACTGCAAACAGAAGCTAACTGGACTGCACATCTATTGAGAGAATAATAAATGCTATACATATATGATTTGTCTTGTTTTTCAATGGTTCAAAATACTGGAATGTTTAGAGGGACAAAATAACTAATATTGCTACTTTTTCATCTGTATAAATGAGTGACAATCCATAATGGGATGCCAAAGTTATCATCCTAAAACATGAAGAAGTGAGGACTATATTCTCCAGGGAGAATAAAAAGTTAGCAATCTAGAAACCAATATTTTTACCAATACTTTCTCCAGAGCTTCATTATCAAAAAAACCTATTGGGGCAAACATTTTCAACAAATTGACAGGAGTTATTGTTAAAAATAAATCTTGAAATTTTGTGAGTTGACCTCAAGTTGGCCCCTTATATTCAGGAAAATCAATCTATATATGCATGCAATACATGCCAATGGACATAAAAAAACATAAATCAATCATATATTTAAGAATCATAAAAGCATTATTAAATCTGCTAGCATACTCCAACATATTCATAAAATTTTTGGGAAAAAAAACAAAATCAGTATTTACCTGATTATAATCTGAAGCTTTGGTATCAAGTGCCAACTTGGTATCTGACAGTGATTTCTTTGTATTGACTACTTCCTGTGATAACTCACTAATCTGTATCTCTTTCTTTTTACCTTCTGTCACCTTAAAAACAAAGTCAATATAGAATTAGTACCGGTTTTGATATCTTTCCGAATAATAGCTTTATCTTTGAAATAAACAAATTGAAATACACAAATTGAAACACATACATAATATAGTAAATTATTCAGAGAAAAATTTTGGAACTAAAACATGTGATTTGTTTAATATGAAATTTCACCAGGAAAATGACAAGCTTCAATCTTCAAAATATATAAAAGCCTTTGCTTTGTGCCAAGGAACATAATGTTACAATTTCATGAAAATCAGTAAAGTGTAACTAAAGATATTGTGGATAAACCCATGGTGTTTATAAATAACCTGACAGCAAAGTAAAACAAATACTACATAAACAAAATAACATTCATAGAATGGCTACTTTAAGGAAACATTTACATAATATCAGCATCATTGAAATGACTGACGACAGACATTATACCTTTACTTTGAACCACTTTCAAATTAAAGTCGTCATTAAAATCAGATTTTACATGGCATCAACCCTCCTCAACCTTTTATATGACAGCCATACATAACTTCAAATTATTGATGCCTATGAAGCAAAGTTCAATATACACATCATCTTAATCAGAACTTGATCACTTGACGTGTTTTACATATATTTATTTACCAAGAACTCATTGTGTTCTGTTAGTTTTTTGTTTTCTTTGGCTTTTTTCTCTACCACTGCATTCAGCTTACTTATTTCTGTGGTTAGATTCTTTTTTGTCTGAAAAAAAAACATGTATGTCTTTGAAATAAAAAATCTTCTTATTTTCAAAATTTGTAAAATCAGTAAAATAACAATATGTGTTGATTAACTGACTGTTAATTGCTTAACCTCAAATGGCAAATTATTTCTATTGATTAACTGACTGTTAATTGCTTAACCTCAAATGGCAAATTATTTCTATTGATTAACTGACTGTTAATTGCTTAACCTCAAATGGCAAATTATTTCTATTAAAACCTATGCATCTGATAGATATAATTTCATTGCATATTTTCTCATTCTGTAAAATAAAAAAAAAAATTAGAAGTTCATGTATTTGTTGAATTTTCGGCAATCTAAGTTTTCAAACTCTGCAACAACAAATGCCATTTTTAAAATTTAATGAGAGCTTGTTTTCAAAGAATCAAACATTGCTTATTTATTTTTGGTGAAGATGCATTAAAGCAACATTAAATAGTCACAAGAAATACTCTGAATTGAGGATTTATTCACAATTAGAGCCCTTTTCCAAATGCTTGTAATGTAAAGGTTTGGTTAACTTGCTTGCTTTGTTTGTATAAATGTTTGCTCAAGCATTATAATTAAGATTGACATCTGCAATCAATAGATAGGCGTGGCTTCAGCTTGTATACATTATACTTAAATGTTAGTGAGTATAATGCAGAGTATAATGTATACAAGCTGAAGCCCCGCCTATCTATTGATTGCAGATGTCAATCTTAATTACAATGCTTGAGCAAACATTTATACAAACAAAGCAAGCATGTCAACCAAACCTTTGAATTACAAGCATTAGGAAAAGAGCTCTAATGGCTCTGGGAGAACAAATCTGAACATTGCCAAAATACAAAGGAAGTTTGTGTTCATTTATCAACTTATTTTTGTTAAAAATTTGGATTCATCAAAGCAAAATTAATATTATTGCAAAGACATTCTCTGAAAGACAAAAAAATAGTATTACATTATAAACATCCTTCATTGTGATATGAGAATAACAATTAATGAAATGATAGGTTCTAAAAGAAGGTCCTATCTCAAAACAAAAAAAATCTTCTATTTTGAAATAAAGGCAAGCTGGTTAGGATCATTCTTTTAGCCATACAAAACTTGTCTTATACAATACTTGAAGGCTCCGTGTTAAATGCCGTACTTTGACCTATAATTGTTTACTTTTTATACATTGTGACTTGGATGGAGAGTTGTCTCATTGGCACTCATACCACATCTTCTTATTTATAATTAATGAGTTATTAGAAGGTCATAAACATACAAAGAACATGACACTTTTCCAATATAGGGTCACATTTTGAACTTTATTTATTCCTACAACAAATTCTCATTGATTAAATTATTTTGACAATAACAAACATACACTGACTGACTGACTTACTGTTTCTGATTCTTGTTCTTTGTGTTCTAATCTCTGTTTTATCTCCTCTAATGTTTTCTTTGTTGTGGTTAGTGTAGATTTTGTCTCTTTCAGCTCATTATCTATTTTTTCAATTCTATCATTCTACAATTTTCATAAATCTTAAATCTACTATTATCATACATCAATAACTGAGGTAATGTAAGCATCAAAATATTTTTTTTTTTAAATATACATTTTCAAATTACCTACATGAAAAAAAAATCTGCCAATATGCTTGTTAAGTCCCTAAAGAGTAGTGGATTATTTCATGGTTTGTAAATAAATAATATGGTTTCATTGGTGGAACAGCCATTACTTTTTCTAAATCAGAATGTTTTCATGTATCAATCTAAACTTTTACCCTGAATGCTCACTATTCATTATAACAAAAAGATGAGTTAAAAAGCCTCTTTACTTGTATGAAAATAAAGAGTTCAGACTGTTAGTTTTCTCGTTTGAATTGTTTTACATTTTTCATTAAGGGCCTTTTATAGCTGACTATGCGGTATGGGCTTTGCTCATTATGGAGGCCGTACAGTGACCTATAGTTGTTAATTACTGTCATTTGGTCTCCTCTGGAGAGTTGTCTCATTGGCAATCATACCACATCTTCTTATTTTTATATGCTCATTCATTTTTAAGAATTGACAGAAAATATAATTGTACTTGAAGTTGCGGAATTTTGTGTAACAATCACACAGGCAAAACACCAACCTTTTCTGTTATTTGTCGTTCAGAAGCTGTATTTTGTTGTGTAAGTTGTGTTATCTTGTCTTGATGTTCTTTGATAGTTCCTTCCAATGATGCTATCTTCTCTTTTTTAGTAGAAAGGTCAGATAAAGTCTGAAATTATGAAACAGAATAGTAATAGCTATACAAAATCCTTTTATTCCTATTATTTATTACTAGGGTATAATGTCATGTTTCAAGAATTATGATTCTAATTTGTTAAATCATACAAATCATGTAATTCTATAAATTTCAAATACCTCAAAATTCATTGAAAACTAATAAAAAGTTAGTTAACTAAAATTATTTTCTATTAATGTCTCAAACCTTTATATCCAATGGTCAATCTATGGTCAATCTATGAAAGTTATGTTGACCTCTAGGTATTCTTTGTTTTTTTGTTACTTTGGGCTGCTGTCTCTTTGATGTATATGTTGTGTACAAGATGTAAGTTTGTACACATTATAATGTGTACAGGTTTTTTGTACAAGTTATAAGTTTTTTGACACATACCTTTTTGCACCAGGTAATAATAGTTTATCTTCTAAAATATATCAGTTTAATGTCTCGAATTCAAATTTATATACCTCAACCTAACATTTAGTGCTATTCTCCTTGTCTTCAAACTGGAAATGATGATACCTGAATGGATTAAATTCTAATTTCATTTTTCTCCTTATTCCAAAATCATATCTATAAAAAGTCTGTTTGTGTTCTTATAATGTTTGTGTATCAAGCCACAGTATTAGACTGTATCATGTAGTTGTGGAAATATGACAGAAATATGCGAAACAAAAGACTGTGTGCTTGCATTTTCCATTTGTGTTAAGCGGTCCATAAAACACTGATAACTTGCACAAAAATTCTGTACAAATTATAATTTGTACAATATTACAACTTGTACAAAACATATACATCACACATCTCTTTTTATTTTATATTAGTTATTTCTAGGGTATAAATGTGGTTCAAAAAATCTTTTTTTTTGCCCTCTGAAACTTCAAAATGCAATCTGTTTTAAATGCATCATTCAGGACAAGTTTTAACAGTTTACTCTGGATTTATAAGTATTTGTTGGATACCAATTTTTTTGGGGGGGAGGGTTTCATGAACCACACATTTAGATTTTCAATAAATTAGAAATTTTCTATATGCTTGTATACAGACATTGTCAAAACCACAAAATCAAATATCCATGAAAATGCAAGTTTTCCTCAATCCATAAAATTGGTACCCACAACAATAAATGAATTCACAGTATTCTAAAAGTGGGTTACCTGCTGCCACTGTTGTTTCATTTTGGACAGTTCATTAGTTTTCTCCTCAACCAAGTTTTGAGCTGTTTTGATATGATTTTCTAAATCTGCCCTTTGACTAGTTTTAGCTGACTCTGCTGCTAGAAGTAATTCTGTCTACAATTATTAAAATTAAAAAGGAAAATAATATGTTTCACAACACTTTGATTCAAGGATTTTTATGATCTCATAAAAATGATAATAATCAGTATTAAAATATCAACCACAGAAGACAGGATAATCTAGAAATTTTTCAAAGTAAATTTTGACAACAATTATAGGATTAGTCAAAAACTTGTTGAGATTATCCATGTTCTAAAACATAAGCAATAGGAAACTGCACAATGTTTCTTTCTCAGTCTGACAATAATGTATAACTTGATATTGATAAATTTCATCAAAACAAGTCAAATTTACATTAATTTATCTTGTAAAACTCTTTTGTTAATTGTTTATACTAATAACTCAATCTCTTCCCCCCCCCCTAACCTGGAACAGTTGTGTTTTAAACAGCACAACAAGCAAGATTTACACTATAAAAAATTCAACAATACAGGAAAAAGCTAGAACAAAGAAAAAATTAAAAAAATGGGAAAACATCTTTTGTTTTCTCACAAAGCTGAAACCATTTCAAATTATTCAAATGGAATTAAATTCAATTTAAGGCAAGGATTGTCACCAAATCAAAATAAGCATTTAAAAAGTTTTTGAATATGATGATAAAAACAGTATGTAAAATATAGCCTACCTCCAAATCTAAATGTACCTGATGATAGATGATAATTAATTTAAAATGTCCATTTTACAAGCTATCTTACCAAGCAATCACGTTTTACAAGCTGTCTTACCAAACAATCACATTTTACAAGTTATCATACCAAACAATCATTTATAGTTTATTTGACCATTTTTGAGTTGAATATAATTTTTTCTTTTCAGTTTCATGGGTATTAATTTCAATGAAAATTATAAAATCCTAATTCAAAGTTCATATATCCAATCGAAAGGAAAAGATAAGAAATTATTTAATGTTTTCCTTAAAAATAGAGTGGAAAGTCAAGTAGTCCTTTTCATGAAAATTCTGGCTCATATAAAGACAACACATTTTGATTGTATTTACAATATCTAGAAACTGTTCCTAAGAACACATTGAAGGCATATATCAATCTTTAGGAGTCAGAAATTATTCAATTTAGTGTATATAGAAATGTTTTCAATTGATATGGGAGTTCAGGCATTCCCCTTTTCCATAACAGTCAATTTATAGCAATCAACAAGTCAATCTTACTTTTGACTGAACATCAACCTCTAACTGGGCTGATTTTTGCTGTAGCTGTGTTATTTTCTCTGCTTTCTCAGACAATGATCCCTTTAACTTCTCCACCTTGTCTTGAGAATTTTTCAGCTGACCTTTAACCTCCTGTAACTGTTTATGGAGCTTTTCCTGCTTTTCAGAAGTTTCTTTTTCTTGAACAGTGGCAGAACTTTCTAACTGGGAAATCTTTTCTTGCAAAATTGTCTACAAATTAAACAAGACTCTCTTTATTAAATCATGCTCTTAACTTTCCCTTTATTATGTTTTATAACAGACATATCACAAATATTCATCTATTTCTCATTTAAACCAATCATTTTTATGATGTCTTAATGTTTACTTGTTGAATTAGAAAACTGATATGCAATCAAGGGCTTCATTTAAGAAATCATCACCAGAGGAATGAACAAATATAAAACAATGTAACACTTAGATTTGAGCAACAGCCTTACCCCCATTTGTTTTTTGTAAAATGATGTCATATTCAGAGACTGTCATAAAAGTGGAAAGTTTAGTGTACTGTAAATCAACATACATGTACTTAAACTTGATGCACATAGGAGTGCATACTTTATCAGGATAAACAATCAAATTTATATGAGTGTTTTTATATATTTCAACTGGTGGTCAATTACATTTTATTTAAAGATTATCACAAGTTAAAACCAAATTTGTACATGTGGAACTCAAGTAGATCTAAGGTTAAGTCACCTGAGGCAATCTGTTTTAACCAAACAATATTGATTTTAATTCCTTCAAATACTTCAGTAGCTTTAGATAAAATTCATATTGAGCTGAACAGTTTCTAGAAAATTACTTAAAATCTATTTGAGTTTGAGTTTAAGGATGTTCGCTCCTCTTGTTTTTGAATTTTTGCCAGATATTCGGAATCCTCTGGTTTTATCCATGTAGTGCCATAAAAAATTTTGCCCATTAACCCCTACTTTTCTTTCCATAATTTGATTACATTTAGTTTAAAATGACTTCTTTGAAAATCTTATAAAATCCTTGTTATTTTTTCATCGTTTTTGAAAGAAAAAAGGTGCCAATGTTAAATGCATGAAAAATCTAGAGAGAATTATTTCCCGCCATATTTTCAATGGCTTATATCTCGAAAACAAGCACACAGACCCTTCATTTTTTTCTGCTTTTTTAGTTTCTTTGTTTATATTCTATCAACTCATAACAGTCTTTTAAAAAGCTTGTTATTTTAAAACAGAGTAGCGAACATCCTTAAAATGGTTTTTAATATTACTTCAGATTGATTATTATTTGTGGGATACTAATTATCATGTATTTCATTGGAAAAGGTGAACCATGAATTGAAATGTTTAACGAAATACAAATTTTATATCTGGTTATATGCAGAATTTGGCAAAACCACCAAATCAAATATCCATGAAAATGCAAATTTTACTCAATCCACGAAATTTGGTACTTACAAAAATAAATGAATCTACAGTAACGAAATGTTACTTTCAAAATGCCTATTTGTATAACATACTTACCTTTTCTTGATTAAGCTGGTTAATTGCTGTTTCAATACCTTCCCCAGCCTCCATCTGAAAATAAAAATTTCATCTGCACAAAAAAAGTCTACACAGATTTGTCAAGAAAAAGAAAAAAATCTTGATGTTATCAGATTAATAATCAATATATTCAACATCAGTCATTATACAATAAAGTTGCTATAACCAGTAAGTCAGTAAAAACAATTCAATGTCACAAAGTGAGCATACTTTTTCTCTCTATATCTATTTTTGTATGACTTACATTTAGTAGTAATTTTTTATGAATTGTATTTAGCACTAAATTTTGTTTGATTTACCTTTGCTAATAAATTTGTCCTTTCAGTCTCCATTCTTGTTGCCTCCTCTTTCACTGAGGACAACTGTTCTTCTAAACTAGAAATTCTCTCATCTCTGAAAGTTATTTCAAAATTAAATACATTGATCTTTCAGTCAAGTGTTTCAGTTAAAGTGTCCATTTACTGGCTCTTATAATTTCAGAAAACATTTGTTTTTGAATAAGATCCTCTGTAAAATAAATATATCTGGTGATGGTACCTAAGATCAGATCAAATTGTATAAGGGTGTCATTTAACAAAATCTTGTCAAAACTGGTAGCCTTTGTTGAAGTTCATCCTTATCCCGTAGAAAATAATTTATCCAATATTCCATTATTTTTCAGCTTTCTTCCTCATGAGTTATTTCAGAAAACCATGCAATTTGAAAAACCCTCTACATCATGTTAAATTAGAAATTATGGGAAGACTAAAAAGACCGTAACTACTGTTTACTATTGTCATCAAATTTTAGTATGTGCTTCGAATATTGTTTAAGTTAGGTCACATCAGCAGTTTACCAAAGCTGACAATAGTTTATCAGATCATTTGACTTGTTGATTCACTACAGTAAACACAATAATCGTACCTTGATTGTATTTTTCTTGTTTCTTCTTCGAGTAAGTTTTCTTTTTCTAAAATAGCAGATCTTAATTCTGCACTGGAGCTGCACTGGAGTGGAAGAAAAATTAATGTTATTCTCATCATATTTCTATGTTAATAATGTTTTCATTTTAGTTTGGGTATATAGCTTCATGGGTTATTTCCTCACAAAACATAGTAGGAATATAGCTTCATGGGTTATTTCCACACTTAACATTGTAGATACATAGCTTAATGGTTATTTCCACACTTAACATAGTAGGTATATAGCTTCATAGGTTATTTCCACACTTAACATAGTAGGTATATAGCTTCACAGGTTATTTCCATACTTAACAAAGTAGGTGTATAGCTTCATGGGTTATTTCCACACAAAACATAGTAGGTATATAGTTTCTTGGGTTATATATATCCATACTTAACTTAGTAGGTATATAGCTTCATGGGTTATTTCCACACTTTACATAGTAGGTATATAGCTTCATGGGTTATTTTCACACAAAACATTCTAGGTATATAGCTTCATGGGTTATTTCCACACTTAACATAGTAGGTATATAGCTTCACGGGTAATTTCCATACTTAACATAGTAGGTATATAGCTTCATGGGTTATTTCCTCACAAAACATAGTAGGTATATAGTTTCAGGGGATATATATTTCCACACTTAACATAGTAGGTATATAGCTTCATGGGTTATTTCCACACTTAACATTGTAGATACATAGCTTAATGGGTTATTTCCACACTTAACATAGTAGGTATATAGCTTCATAGGTTATTTCCACACTTAACATAGTAGGTATATAGCTTCACAGGTTATTTCCATACTTAACATAGTAGGTGTATAGCTTCATGGGTTATTTTCACACAAAACATAGTAGGTATATAGTTTCACAGGTTATATATATCCATACTTAACATAGTAGGTATATAGCTTCATGGGTTATTTCCACACTTTATATAGTAGGTACATAGCTTCATGGGTTATTTCCACACTTAACATAGTAGTTATATAGCTTCATAGGTTATTTCCACACTTAACATAGTAGGTATATAGCTTCACGGGTTATTTCCACACTTAACATAGTAGGTATATAGCTTCACAGGTTATTTCCATACTTAACATAGTAGGTATATAGCTTCATGGGTTATTTCCTCACAAAACATAGTAGGTATATAGTTTCACGGGTTATATATATATCCATACTTAACATAGTATGTATATAGCTTCATGGGTTATTTCCACACTTTACAGTAATGTTCTGAATTTCATTTCAACATTTTTTTTGTTTAAATATTTGTAAATGTTACAAATAGTGTGTGAAGAAAACTTGTTAGATACTTCTAAGAGCTGCAGGGATAGAACCTGTTACCTTTAACAGTTAGACTGAAATATCAGCTTATCTTTATCCTGACCAGGTAAAAATTTATTTTTATAGTAAAACAGAAAATATTTTTAGAAAAATAGTTGTCAAATGCATAAACATATGACTTAATTTAAGATCTAAAAGCAATGTTCAATCAGCTAGTTGAAAGATGATTCAATTGATTATCATATGGTATTTATTTTTCTTTCAAATCAGACACTGAAAAAATATATATATAACAGAGGAAAACTGGTTTCAGGGGCCCCAACAGTCTTAGCTCTTACCCTTAAATGCTGCATGTTTTGCATACAGCAACAAACACCAATATTAAAGTCTTTTGAACCAGATAGGGATCATAGTCCTCAGCACTTGAGGCCAACAAGACTTTTTGAAATATTAAGAAATCAGTGTTACCTCTGTTTGATAATGTTGTTGTAAATCTGTCAGCTGTTTCTGAAGATCTTCAATCTGGGATATTTTTGTATCATTATTTGACTGTACCTAAAAATATATTACACACACTGAATTATTCAAAGTTATCTGATGCATTAAATAGATATGTGTTTTAGGTAAATTTTATTAAACAACAATCATGCCTTTTGATATTTTGTACACCTTATATTGTATTACAGGACATTGATATATTCATTTTGGAGACAAACACTTTTCAGCAGAATCATATGAAATCTTGAGATATATTACTAAAAAGTGTTTTTCTATTGTCTTATTCTTTGAGATATTATACACACAAATTTACTAATGAACCAATCACCATAAGTATTTTTAAATGAACTATCATTTGGTCTCTAGTGGAGAGTTGTCTCATTGGCAATCATACCACATTGTCCTATTTCTATAAGAACTAGAACACACCCGCCTTATCACAGGTCCGTGACTGAATTAAAGTACCTATGCCTTACTTTGAGCCAAGATTTTTAGTATTCGTATTGTCATCTGATAAAGTCACGCTGATTATAAGGTGCACAGTTTTCTCTGCTTTCAAAATCTTTCTGTTTGAACCCGTCGACCCAGAGCTTGATAATTATTGGTAATATTATGTGGAAAATCAAAAGGGTCTGGAATGGTGTAATTTGTAATCAACACCATTGTCCTATATCAGTTAAATATAAAGTTGAATTCTTTGATTCCTTTTTTTACAGCATGCCGGCTTACAAATTGGACCTCGTTATTTTAGTAGTATAGATATAAACTATATTCAAAAGAATGAGATACCTTTAATTGTACATTAGCATGGCATATAAATATTAAACCTACATAGGTTTCAGCCAGCTATGAATTCTTTATTTTATTATATTCTGAATAAAATATGTTCAAATAACACCTACTTTTTCAAGTTCCAGTTTAATCTCATTATACTGCTGTTCTTTCTGATGTAACAAGGCCACAGACTCTGATTTAGATCCACCAAGTTGTTTCTCTATGTCTTCTATAAAACTATCCTTCTCTTCAAGTCTTTTTTGTATCTATAGTCATAAGTAATATAACATCAAAAAATATATACCAACATTTCTATATTAAGATTTTGATGTCTTATAATGGAAACCTTACATTTGTTAAGCATTATCAAGAGCTGTACTTAAAATTATCCGTTGTAAAAACCAAAATTGGTCAGGATGAACTCAAGTTATTAAAAAGTAAAGTCATCATCACTTTATCAATAATGATGCAATATCAACAAAATGTTTATATTGCACAATGAAATTCGAATTCAACTCATCAGTTGCAAGAAAATTGGTTAATAATGCTTATTGTATAATTAATAATGAAAAACCTAATGTTTCCCCCATTCCCTATCTTACTTTCAATGAAATTATAAAACATATTTATGTCAGAACATTAAAATTGTTTTCACTTCAACCAAACTGGGTAAGTTTTTTTTCCAATCAAAGACTTAAACATAAATTTATGTCTGAAGTGTTACAAACAATCAATAATAACTTACAGTTTCAACTTCCGACTTCATTTCAGAAATTTCTTTATCTTTCTCTTCCACACTCTGCTTCAAATTTGTGACTTCAGATAATGAGTTGTCTAATTCAGTTTGAATCTCACTTATTTTCTCTACTTTTAGCTTAAGTTCATCTTTTACAGACTCCATTTCTTGTTCTTTCTTTTGTAATTCAGAATTCACATTTCCAAATTGTGAACTTCTGTCTTCCATTTGTTTTTGTAACTTTTTAACTTCCTCACTAGAGCTGTCTATTTCAGATTTTAATTGAATAACATCCTTTTCTTTAACATCTAAGTCTTCCTCTAAGTTTGAGATTTGATTAGCTCGAGTTTCAGCTAGTTGTGTAAGATGGACTATTTCTGAATCTCTTTTTGTCACATCAACTTTTAACTGTGTAATTTCTTCAACTCTTTCTGTCAACTGCTTCTGTACAATAGATGAACTTTCTTGGCCCTGAAAGTAAGAAAACTTATAAATAATTTGACTGAAACTAGAAACTCCTCAAAGCATGTATCACTAAACTATCAGACTTCATGCTCTTTTTGTAATTACAGCTACATGTATGTTCTGTTTATGGTAATGGCACAAAATAATGAACCATTCAAGACAAAGCTCAAAACCCAGAAATATATATATACCTTTCACTAAAAAAGAAAAGTCACAGATGTAAAAGAAAGTCAGTCTTCTTGTAAATTTGTTGGTAGTTTGAAAACATATTGAAGAAAAAAAATGTTAAAAAATCAAGTACCTAAAACTCACACATCCAAAGACAAATAAGTCAGAAGACATGAAATTCTCATATGTTACCACAATTAAATAATTAAAATACCGTATCTTCATTCTGTCTTTTCTTTGTACATAAAATTTACTGTACACATAACTGTTCATAATTCTTTACAACATATTTTGTAAACTGTTTAAAATTTTTACTGATGTTTACAATTATTCATATATGTACTTTGGATTCAGTTATTATCTTGGGTACAGATTTTTGTGGATGGAGGAAAAATTGTATTTTTGTGGATATTTGATTTTGTGATGTTCCCAAATTTTGCCAAACATTGACTTTATTATAACCACTTAATATTAATCAATAAAAACAAAATACCTTCATAATATTTGACTGTAGTTCTGTGTACTGGTCTGTTTTGGCCTTGACCTCTTTCTGTAGGTTCTCTATCTCTAAAACTCTTTTATCAAGATCATTCTGAAGTTTGCCAGACTCCTCTGACTTTGATTTCAGTTCTTTTTCTACATTTTCTTTCTCATATGACATCTTTTCATGTTGTGTCTTGAGTAGATTAAGTTCTTCCTGTGTTTGTTTTAAATCCTTCTGAAGTTGTGTGAATGAATTTGCCTTTTCTTCAATGGAAGACTGTAGTCTAAGGTCAAAGAAAACAAATTACAAAGTTTCTTCATTTGTAACATTACTTATAACAAACATATATATGTATGCAAAAATGAGACATGTGGTAAACATTTAAAAGACATATATCAAACAACAAATGACAATCTAAAATGAATATTAGTGTGTACAAAGAGCATACACTCATAGCACATGCTAAACTCTAAATAGTCTTGAAAAAAAGATAAGTCCTTAGCAACTTAGACGGGACAGATTCAGTCTAAAGACTGGTCTTCTTTTCCATCCAGATTCTTTAATCAATTTAAGAGATCACCTTTTTCAAAAAATTTCTTTGACACAAATTTTCATACTTGACAAAAATCTTCCAAAAACACTTTCATGAATTTGACTCTAAAAATACAATTTAAAGCAAGTTGTTTTCCATGTAAGAAATAATAACTAAGAGCAATGGTAAGAAGCCAATCAAATTAATTCATTACATTATTTTAATAAATAAGGCAGTAATATTTCCACTTGTAACGCTAAGTTCCTTATATGATAAGTGTTACCTCTGTACTTCTTCCACTTTTGGGGACTCTGATATCTGAGCTTCTAACAGCTTAAGTTTTTCTTCTGTGCTGTAATGCAAAATAAATACAATGTGCTGATACTATGAAAACTTCTTACATAAACATAACATTCAATGTAAAAACATTTCAAGTCTGTTTAATTGAAACAGTATATGTCCATTTGCTGACAGTGAATTAATTTAATCTTAAGAACAGTTTCACATTTTTGTATGATTCAAGTTTTAGACTAAATAATGATACAGTAGTCTCCCCTTTCCAGTGGTAAGATCTATTTTGAATTAAACAGGAGCCATTAAGAAAATGTTGTGTTGTAACAATATTGCTGAAGAGGAGCAAGGGGATATATAAGTAAAATCATCTAATCAAACAGATCACAAAAGCAACACGTTTTTAATACCTAGCAACTCTTCTAAATAGCTCATTAATTGAACGGAAAAATTTGCAATAAAATTGGTGAACACATATGGCTTATGTCCTAAACAGATCTAATATGGGGAGAGGCCTTATTCAAATGGGTGAGCTACAGTAAATGCACTTAAAATCATAAAGTGCAAAAACCAATCTTTTTCACAATTTTTTACAGGCCAAATAAAAATTCATTTGATATGACCATAACATAATATAATTATAACTTATTTCGAACCATATGAAATAATAGGAGATGAATCAGTGGAAAAGTTTCATTTGGTTCACAGTAATAGCATTTCATATTGATATATCATTACAATGTTGATGCTTTCTGTATTTTTGAAAATTCATTTCAATTTATATTTATGGGTATGTGAGAAGGAAAAAAGGCAGATGTGCAGCATGAGGGATTTTTTATTCTTAAGCAGCTGTGCATTACAAGTTTATCAATACCCCTTGCAAAGATCCATTTAAAAAAAGATTTACCAATCAGGCTTCCTTTTCTGAAAAAATAAACTTAATAGAAAAATAAACAGACAATAACTGCTAACAAAACAAATAGCAGAAATTAAAATACTTTTAGCAGATATTATTTCTGATGGCCAAACTTATAGAATTGCAAAGAAATCCAAAACATTTCACTACTTAAATTAGAAACAAATTCTTTATCTTTTGAACTTGACTACCATTTCCAGTAACCAGAATACATTTATTTATATGCACTAATTTCAATACGGATCATATGCTTACACACTGTTTTTAGTTTTCAGTTCATTATAAAGTTTCTCGATAGCATCTTTCTCTTTCTCTTTCTCAAGTGACAAATTATCCATCAAAGTTTGTACTGATATAAGTTCCTGCTTCAGAACCATCACATCCTCTGCTCCTGGCCTAAGTAGTAATTATGAAATTATACTTTTTGCAATACAAACAATTCTTTAGGTGTAATACCACAATTGATTTTCCCCTATTAGTCTTTGTTAAATTTGCACTTTTCAAAAAAATGTGCAGAATTTATCTTTGTTTCAAATAAAGAAATACTTGGCATGAGTAAAGTTTTATCCTGTCCAGTACTATAGAAAAAATTTCACACAACATTTCATTGCATATAAGAAAATAACCATCACTGGAAGATAACCAATCAAATTTTCCCCCTTTTTTAACCTGTGTACAAGCTTTAGTAACCATGTAACCTCAAGTTTCCAAAATATTCTATAGAAACCCCAAATAAAAAAATAATGGTGCTTTGAAATACCCAAGATATATGTTTATGACCCAGAAATGTTTTACTGCAATGAAATGTAGGATCAATTACCTACCACTGTCAAAATCAAGGGATATTTTTTTTCGACCTATTTTCGTATGCAACCGAATGTGACATACTATGATTTGGTGGTATTACACCTTTATTATGTAACGAGAAAGACATTTTGCCTGAATCAGTCAAACAAAAGAGAAGACTTATTTGCATTAATATAAAAATGAGAAATAACAGAAAATAAATTTGACACAATTTGAAATGTATTAAGTTTTATTTGCATTTATAAAACTATCAAAACAATTTCTGAAAATTATTCGATAATATGTGCTGTTGTTGTAGAATAAGTGCAGCAACAGCTAGGAGCTATTTTAGTGTTGGATAATTTGAATATACTTTTGTAATTCAGGAGGTGCATACAGTTGGAATCAGGAATATTTATTATGAAACACCAAACTCATACTTTTCACTGAAACAGAACAAAACAAGAACTGATTACCAACAGAAAAGAAATAACATTGATAGCAAAAAAATTATACAGTTCCTAAACAACAAAACTTCAATTACTGCTAAACTGAATGATAATCTACAACAGACTAATAGAATCATGTATATCTGCAGTTTTATTTTGATATCTATCTTATCCACATAATACTCTCCTAATATTTTGATAATCTTTACATATCATTTTTCATTGGGTGTTGAAATACCAGATAATACATGTATATATCTTTTTCAAAGTACCTTTGTGATAGCTGTGCCTCTAAATTATGTATGAATGTTTCTTTTGACTCTATCTGTCCCTGTAAAGGTTCAAAGATCATATGCATAAGTAAATTGTATCCAAATATTCAGGTCTTATTCAGGTTAAGTGTTTTAAAAAGATGTTTTTGATTTTGAAAAGAGTCCTGTAAATTCAAAAAATAATGTGTGCATTTATCAATGCGAATCCTTGACCACTTGCAAAAATGGGAAATCTAATTAATGAGATTGCATAAATTTTACGAAGGAAAATCACAACTGATATTATAAGTGCAAGATATTATTGTTGCGAATCTGATATTGTCACATTGTTCACATTAATAAAAACATTGCAATAATTTCTGAATATACAGCATTTTTAATATAGATTCTTATCCAGAATAGATAAGTAGGACTTGGGAGGTGCAATATGGACGCTGAAGTGCGATGGTTTATATATGTCATTAGTTACAGTTTCATACTAAATGAGAGATTGTTCTCTTTAAATTTGCTGCATGAGGACGTTATTCTGCGTTAAAAGTTTATCTTTACTTTGTTCCTCTCATCTGAGATTACTTAATTTTTAAAAAAGAAATCTCAGCTCTCAGCTCGTATGAGTTCCACGTTTACCGTAATATCATAATATGGAAAGTCTCTCTGGGACCCATATGTGGTTAGAGAATTCCAAGCTCCATCGTACGTTAAAACAAAACTTTTGTAGATTTTGAATAAGGATCTCATCTAAATTTCCCGTCTACTAATTATTTCCCTTTTACGGTAGCATAAAAATTTTGTTAACAAGTTGTATTCATGTTGAATATGCAAAAACATTCCATATTTTCTCCAGTTGCAGTAAAAACCACCGACAATGATAAGTTTATAAGGCCCTTATCATATTGCATTTTAAACAGCTATCACATTTTCAGTCATTGTTATTAGCACTGGTTTTAATGGAAAATCACCTTTGTATGCAGCGTCTTGAATGATTATATGAAGGTTGGCTTATTTTTGTCCAAACTAAACTACAACGTTACAATTATGACTTGAAATATTTATCATGACAGTTTTTAATCAAACAGGAGGTTAATATTCTCCATGATTTACTTAATGAACATGAAAAGCTGCTTCTAACAAATTGAATTTTTCATCGACTTGGAAAACATTGAAAATATAGTTTATTTTATCCATCGCACTTTGGCGTAACGATCAACAAGATAGAGTCACAATGCCACAATCACACTTTAGCGTGATCAAAAACACACTTCAGCGTGACCATCACTATTAGGAGTACCATTGCGGTTCAGAGTCCTACAGATATACAAAATTTTTATCTCCTTATTTGAGTTATCGCTTGGAGCATAGTGCAAGATCTCAATAAAATAAAAGTATCCTAGTAATTCATGCCATAATTGACTTTATTATGCAATTTCATTCAATATCCTTTCTATTCTATTAATATTTGTTCTTCTTTTCAAAAAGATACTTGTGTCTACAAACAAATAAAATAGGAGCAGGTGATGAAAAGGACCTGCATCTAAATGAGAATTTCTCATTCACTATACATTTTGATATCTTGATAATTTTTAAGCTTTTCTTGGCCAATAAATTTTAATTTGCGTTTCTATAGTTAGAAAACTACCTTCAATGTGTGTATATGATCTTCTAATGCCCCCTTTTGTCCTTCTAGTTCATCACATTTAGCTTTAACTGTCACTAATTCACTTGCCTGCAAAATAAACAGTTAACATTTCAATGCTCTTCTGCCTCATACTTTGTTTGGCTTTTTTAACTTTTTTGATTTGAGCGTCACTGATGAGTCTTTTGTAGAAAAAACCCACATTTAGCATACAAAATTTTAATCCTGGTATATATCTATAATGAGTTTATTTACTGCTTTGTGCAAGTTCTTTGATATAAATTATTCATTTATTATGATTAATGGTAGTACCTGTTCTATATAAGATTTTTTCAAGAGTATAATTAAAAAAAATCACTACTAAAATTACTGTGTAACATAAAATTACATAAAGACATCTAGAGGTCAACTCAGTTTTGAACTGTATCCTGCAACACAAGTTGGACTCGATTAGATGCACCTACATAGAAAGTTAAAAGATTACTGGCAAAATAGTTACTAAGATCTTGCTGTGGACATGCACACGGATGTCAAAGGTACTTCTAAAGTTCTTCCTCAAATTCATTGAGATGAAACTAATAAAGTTAACTTAAAGTTCCACATCATTACATTGTTTGTAAAAAAATGTTCAGCACTAGCTATTATAAATGTCAAGCAGGGTAAACAATCATAATTTAAAAAGAAAATAATATTTTAATATTTCTGATATAACTGGTTTACTTGTATGTTCTATATGAAGTAACCATAGCCAGGTTCATCATTCAATATAATTATTTGATTTAGTTTATTAACTAACAGTTGAACTGGATTAGCAGTTTTAAAAGAGATGATTTAGTATATTTTCCATAAGGACTAAATATGCCAATTTTTGATACTGGTGGATGGGGATGTCTTGGACTCTTTAGGAGAATGTCAGATATATGTACCAGATTAAATGAAAACCAGGGTAGAGGCATTCCTTCCAAGAAATTAGATGCTTATTTGAAGAAAATTCACATAGCTCACATAAGCTTAAAAGATTAATATCATTAGATTTTACCATTTGACCAGATTTAGTAGACAATCTACTGCCTTCTTCTGTCATTAATTCTTGTTTTCCTGACAATTCCTCTACCTTAGCCCTCAAATGGTGACATTCATTCATTACTGAAAAAAAAATACAATTTTAAAATATTCATTCCTTGAACTTCTTTAACACATAAATAGTAAATCAATAGAGAGTTATTACAACATAACTATAACATAAAAACTTGTTGAATTTGATTCTTGCTTTCAAAAATACAAAATCTCTTAAAGTTTTATTTTACAGAAGTGTACCATGATCATTTATTGTTATAATCACAGAATAAATTTGAAGAACAGAATAAAAGTACCAGAGATATACATTACCCAAATTAATATATGTGTCAACAAATTTTCCTGCAACTTGCCAATTCTATTATAACTTTATAAAGATTTTTTTTAAAACATTATCATGTGTTGAACACAGGTTACCGGGTAAACCCAAGTAGGGTCAACAAAAGCAAGCTATTTCCCTGGAGCAATATCAAATTTAATACTTATAACAAATGTTAACATAGCTCTATTTTTTCAATTTGCAAGAAAGTTAGTTCACACCTGCATTGGTTTTGATGTAAATATAAATTGAATTTGAAAAAGGTTTTTAAAATCAATACATGTCATGATATCAGAAGATCAAACTAACAAAGAATTCCAAGAGAATGAAGACAATAATCATGGATGGAGAACCTCTGATTTCTGTAGAATACACAGTGGTGAAATTTTATTATATAATCTATAGCACATGTAAGTTACTTACAAATAGTTCTACTTTCTTCAGAGCCTTTCAACTGCATTTGCATCATCTCTAACTCAGATTTCTCCTAGTAAACAAGATTTAAAAACTATCTTTATATTTACATGATTATAAACTACATTTACGAACTATAACTATGTAAACTTGGAATAGAGATAAATCTAAATTAAAATTCATAGTATAATATGCTGGTCAATGGCAACATGGAAGCATCCTTAGTTTGAAGTAGGTTCATGCTTCTTAGATCAATTAAAATATGTAAATTGAATTATTTGAATAAAGGCTCATCATCCTGATCATAAACTATTTGAAAAGCCTTTTCAACTTTAATAGCAAGCATACAAAACAATAATGTTTTGACTTTGAGACCATATTTAAATGTAATCCTCCGTGGATATGCATACAATATTTGCCACTGATCATTAAGCATCCAACCATCATAATCATTTACTAGCTCTGCGGCCTGTCTTAGCTATTTATTGTATACACTTCACTGTAAACAAAATCCAATAGACCTTATCACTATTTGGAAATCTGAGCTGCTTGACCTGAGAATCTGCACTACTTGAACTATTGACGTCATACAACAATCATTTCTCCATTGTGGCGTCAGATATTTTCTATTATGACGTCAAAATTTTACAGGCACCTTTGTGATATCCAGTAATGGCGGACATATAGCGATAAGGTGTATAGATTATCTGTGTCTCCCATCTACCAAGGGAGATAACTTACATCTTCTGTTAAAGGTATTTTACCACTGCCACTGCCAGATCTTCCTTTCTGCAGTTCTATTTTTAGCTGCTCTGTGTATTTTTGACTGTCTCTCAATGAGAATTTTAGATTTTCTACTTCTTGTCTGAGAGCAAAAACATCTCCATCTCTACAAAATCAAATAAATGGGTCAAAATCTAAAATGACCTGGTTGAATATTTGTGACTAATCAATGTAGAATGAGAAGAAAATCCTGAAACATTTCCATAACAGCAGGTGCAGAACTTCAACAAAGGTGCAATATTCCTGTGAAGATTCAGGGATCTGGGTTGAAAACTGTAGGAGTAGTTGACTACACAAAATTAGTACATACCCTCTTTCATAAATTTTGCTGAAGGTTGCAGTCTTGTAATTGACTACTCCGTAGGCTTACATGCAAAACAGCTGATCTTTTGAAATTTTTCAAAAATAAAATGCTACATAGAATTTTTTTTCTCATGTACATATCTGATGTATGTAGTAATGTGCAATTGTGATTTAATGGGGAAAAAAAGTGCCTCATGCCACGAAAAATAAAAAGTTATGAAACCATGAAGTCAAAACTACTTTTTTCTACTTTCTGTTTGCTGTTTTTACTAGTCAGAACCACAGAAAAAATTGAGTCCAGAAAAAAATTCAGAAAAATGGACTATCTTATTTCACTCCATGTTTTGACATGCACCAGAAACTGGAGTTGTAATACAAGACTGGTACCTGAAAAACGACTAAGTTCAAAAGCCTGGAAAAATGAGAAAAGTTCCTTAAACAATTCCATAATAGCAGGTTCACATCTTCAACATATTTGCAATCTTCCTGAGAAGTTTCAGGGATCTGTGTTGAAAACTGGTAGGATGAGTTGATTACACAACTTAGGTAACAACTTAAATGTCTACTAGAAAGAATAAGAAATTATACCTTAAAAGACCTTTAAGAATCTAGACTTCTATTACTTGACCACCTCAGCTGTATCGAGGTAACTGAGCTCACCTCAAATGTGGGAATTTGTTGGTCAGGTCAAACCAAATACTTTGAAATTGTAATGTGCTGCTTCATGGCCAAGCATGAGGCATAAATGGAGTGAAGATTGGTTGGCTTAGAGTCAGATAATATGTTAATGTAGGTGTAATGTCTTCCTCAGTTTGTGAGCTGACACATTCAAAATTCAACCCAGTCCAAAACATGCATGAAACAATTGCCATTGACATTATACAGCCATCAATAATCAATTCATAAAACAGCATTTTCCATTATTTCACAGCATAGAAGCCTACTTTACATCTATCTAACATCTAGCTATTGTTCTAGACCCCAACTTGTGGCAGGTGTGTTTGACTCCAATCTTAATTGACAAGGATTTTCAGTTTTCCTACAGAGGGTCTGTGGTTTTCTCTGGTCACCCTGACTTCCTCCACCAATAAAAACTGACCACTATGAAATAACCGGGCAATAGTACTGAAAGTGGCTTTAAACACCAATCAATCAATCAATCTTTTTTTCTAGAAAGCTCACCTGTTTTCCGATATATGATTAGCCTCCATGTCATGCGTTTCAAAATGAGATTGCAGTTCCTCTGGTGTATTATAGGACTTCTTACACATTGGACATAGAAATCCTTCCTAAAATATTAAAGAATTGGTTTCATAATAATTTAGTTCAATTAAAAACTAATCAAGTATGCAGAATTAGTACTGTTCCATTTTATCATTCATGGTACTTTGAAAGGCACTTTCAAAATGGGAACCACCTAAAGAGACAAATAAAGAATTTCAATTACATTTCCACCCATAGTTGAGATTTCAAAGCAATTACTCTGGGTCCCATGTATGTGTTAATGGAAAAGTCATTAAATATTTTTGAGACACTCAATTAAATATCTTCTTTATTTCAATAGTGAAGAAAATGTTTTCCCTGGTAATGCAGAAGGTCATTCATTTATCAATTTGCAATACTTATAAGATAAATAAATGATTGTATATTAAAAACATATCAAATTATAGGGGTATTCCAGAACAAAATGTAGGGGTATTGAAAGGCACTATACAATGATACATTTGTACATGGGTGGTAGGGTAAAAAACAGTTTTAAGAATATGTATATACACTTTGATTTTTTATAAAATTGTATGGGTGGTAGGTTTTGAAACAGTGTTTTCCAACAATGCATCTGACTTATATTTTTATACCTGGATAACCCTTATTTAAAGTTAACTTTAAAGTAAATTATCCTTCTTAACATGCTAAATACTCATTATATAAAATGTAAAACTTTCATGATGCATACATAGTTTACCCTCTTTTTTATTTAAAGAACACAGAAATGATACAATATTAATTCACTTAGATCTCTCTTGATTTATCAAGATAAGTTTGTTTAACTGTATCACTTTATTCTATATCATACCAACATTTAACAACATTGAATGAAAGATAGATAGATACTGGGTATGTAAGTGAGGGATTGTTTCATTACATAAATTCACATACTCCCTGAGGTTTGTTTTCATCATGCTCAGCATCAAAATGATTCTGTAGTGCTTCAGCAGATGGCATAGATTTCATACACATAGGACATAGAAATCCCTGAAAAATGAAACAGTGCTCTAGGATAGATAAGGAAAGACAAGGATACAGTCTGATTAAAATCTGCAACCCAACTTCTCTTTGCTAATGAAATAGAGAGAACTTATGGGGGCAAATTTTAGTGAGACTAAACTGCAAAAGGGACAAGGAAGGATAAACAAAATATTGCAAATATCAAATGTAGGTTCACCACCGAACAGTGCTGAAAAGACCAACCCATGTAGGAAGGGCATGCTTAATGGAAAATTTTTTTGCTGATAATGCAAGTTTCTCTATTAAAAACATACAACTTTTTTTAAAACCTGAAATGTATGGAATTTTATAACCACAAAACTTCAGGGACAGCTGCAGTAATTTAATGAGATTGGCACGTTTTGGTTCTATGGGAACCGCCAATAGGAACAAAGCAATACAGAAAATCATGCTTAAGTACAAAATTGGGAAATGATAATTTAAACATAACAATGTCACTGAGGTGAGTAATTACAAATAGAAAGTGAAAGTAAAAACTTGAACAAGAAATTAAATAAATTGTGTTTTTCATAGAAATTAAAATGATTGTTGAAATGTTTTTGTTTTGGTTTATCATCCCCCCAAAACACATCCATATTTACCTGTGCTTCTTCTTCTGCAGCATTCTGTTCTTGTTTAACAGGGGAGGACTTAGAAGAGTTGCTCTGTAAAAAGAAACACAATGCTTATAATTCTAAAATATAATATTTCATATGGGAAGCTATACAGAAAGTTTTAGTTTTAAATTCAGATTTACAGTTATTTGAGGGTGACTTTGTGCAAAAAAAGGGGAGGTTTGCTTGTTTGTAAGAAAAAACATTTATTTTTAGCTCTTGTAACTATCAAAAATATTTAGTCAAACAGGTTCAAACATTTTTGCGCCTGTCCCAAGCCTCTAGCCTTTGTTAGTCTTGTATTATTTTTAATTTTAGTTTCTTGTGTACAATTTGGAGTTTAGTATGGCGTTCATTATCACTGAACTAGTATATATATTTGTTTAGGGGCCAGCTGAAGGACGCCTCCGGGTGCGGGAATTTCTCGCTGCATTGAAGACCTGTTGGTGACCTTCTGCTGTTGTCTGTTCTATGGTCGGGTTGTTGTCTCTTTGACACATTCCCCATTTCCATTCTCAATTTTATCAGTCATTCTTTTGTTACTGGGTCAATTGAAATTTTGCCAAAAAATCATGTGAGAGTACAAAAATGAAATGTAATTGGTATTCAAAATAGAGACAACATGTTTTGTGGTGGCAGTTTGACAGATAAACTGATTACTCTGAAGGCAACATTTCTTTATTTAATATAATACATTACTTTTTAAAGCAACATAAAGCATTTTGTTTGAAAGGTTTTTACCAAGGAGAACTTGTTTTTGTCTTTAAAAACAGTGCAGTAATGCACTAAACATGCATAATTTAAATCTGCAATAGAAATATTTCAAAGATATAAAGATATTATTCATGAATAAGTGCTCAGTGAGATGTATTTGGTGAAATATAACTCTTTCAAAGAAAAATCTGAAATGATCTTTAGACCATTTGTAGACCAACAGTTTAAATTTGTAATACTGTAAATTCAGAAATTATTGCGAGGTTTTTATTAATGCGAATATTGCTACTGGGTTAGTATCGCAATAATTAGAACTCGCATTCTGATATCTGATATATGCATCTGTATGCAGAATTTCCTTAAATCGCAATAATTAATCTCGCATTATTGTCCATTCTTCATAAATCGCAATAATAAATGCACGCAATAATTTCTGAATTTACAGTATTTTAAAATGCTTCCTTTTTCAACCACAACATTATAATGAGCATTTGATTGTGTTAAGCATTGTTGTTATGTTGAAAAGAAGATTGTCTGAATCAGCAATCAGTCTTACAGGCTACTTACTAAGTCTATGCAATGCAGAGCCAAGTATATAATGTTTCATGCACTTAAGTACAATGTTATGAGTAAGTATAAATGAGCCCTGTGTTAAGGGCATATGATACAGTTTTGATCCCGTAATGAAATTTTGATGAAAATTTGCATATAGGCTAATTTTTACCTGCTTAAATCAAATATGCAATAAAAAATATACCATCATGTGCTACTTTTTGAGTAAATTGAGGTTGAAATTTCAGATATTTCCTGAAAATTCAGATTTGTGGACGTATTTTTCCTTTCGACAGAAATACATAACTTTTTTGTTTTAAAAGATAAACACAAGCTGTTTTTTGTTAAATTATCTGTAATTTCTGTTTTATATAAATGTTCTATAAATTTGTACATTTTATTTTTACAAATAACTCATATTTATCAAATGATCATTAATGTAGAAAAAAAACGTCATTTTTTGCTGTATATTTATCAAATTTAAAATAATTGCACTATTGACTTTTTCATGAAAATTGGTACACATAATCTTCATACATAATCAAACCAAATGTCATTTTAAAAAAGAAGGGCTCATGAACTCGTTTTCAAGTTAAATCAGTTTGAATGATAAAAATCAGTCGAAAACTGCATCTTTTCCTGATATAAGTCACAGTTTGACGAAAACGAAAATAACAATTTACGTTAGCAACGTCATTACTTCCCCTGTAACTGTATCGTATGCCCTTAAGACTAAACAACTGTGACAGTGAAATAAGAGGGTTCTGTAAAATCATCTTGGCAGAACTTATGCAGCTCAAGTTTCTGAATATTCCTTGAATTTAAAAAAAAATGGTGATTGGAAAAAATGTGTAGGATTTCTTGAGGCAAATTCAAGAACTCATTTTATTTTTTACATTTCATAACAATTAGTTCTAAAAAATAATCAATAAGAATGCTGTTCAAGTCCTCTAATGTCATCAAGGACTTAATACAACTGTATGTACAAGCTGATTCAAATGAAAATCACTCTTTCTGTTAGTGAATCACTGTGAAAAGGGAGATAATCTGATTGCTGGTGATTTGAACTTATACCCGTATGATATATGATCCTGTCATGGGATATCTACTGTGGATTATAATTATTGGTGAGATACCATTTCTGTGGATTTCATCAGTACAGGTGAACCCCTTATTCAAATGTTCCATAAATAATATATTTTCCATACGCTTGTATGCAGACTTTGGCAAAACCACAAAATCAAATAAATATTAAGATACAGATTTAATCCAATACAATCACCAACATTCACAGTGAATAATGTCTAGAGAGATTTTCATCTTATCCGATCCCCTTGTGTGGACTGTACTTTTCAATTTGTATTGGTATTAAGATGACATAACTTTGCCAACAGGATCTTAGGATTCGTCGGTTACGAAAATGACAATTCTAATCTTATTTCAATATGTTCAAAAACAGTTTGATGTCATCAGAAGATTTCATTAAGAGATCAGTCTCCTTTTTGAATCATTTCAAAAATTCCAAAATGTTTAGTACAGAAACTTATCATTTGCACAATGAGGAAGACAAGGAAGGGTGAAAATTAATAAATAAATCACCTTGTTAGTATCTGCATTATCAATAACCTGCCCCTAGAGGATAAACAAAATAAAATAAATATATACAGTAAGTATAAGCTGAACTAAAGCATTGTTTAAATACTATTCACCCATGACTAGTTATAAAGTGAAACCTGTCTAAATCAAACACTGTATAAAGTGGAAACCTGTCTAAAGTGAACTCTTGTATAAGAACATACAATTAATATCCAATTATATTCTAATCTTTGAAATCAGAACACCTTTCTTATCCATGTATTACATACAAAGTTATCAGTCTAAAACATATTTTGTAGGGAGTTGGTTTAGACAAGTTTTGTTGTTATTTTATAATAATGATTCAAGTTCTCCAGAGTTTCAGAAATTCTAAAAACTAAAATTCATTAAATGATATTTTTTTCAAATTTTATCTTAAACTTTGAAATCAATTAATAAACTGTGGATACAGAAATCAAGCTTACATTTATGTATCCTTTCGGTGAATATAGTGAATGAACTTTAAATTGGAGAAATATGGAAAATTCTTCAAAGATTTCAAAAAATTTAAGAAACAAATATTTTTAATCAGTACTGTGGGTTTATTATATCTTGTAGGTACTTATTTTAATAGTGTTCATTGGTAAAGATGATCCATGAATTGAAGTGTTTAGTTGAAATACAAATATCCAATTAGGAAATGAGTAAAATTTTAAAAACTTCTGAGTAATGTTTTTTATATTAAACATTGTAGGCTTTCCGTTTCATATAATTTTAGCATGCAAATTTAAAAGCGGATTGATTATTAACATTAAGGTAAAATCAACTGAATCTTTATTTATACACATTATTTGCAACTTGATCCTGTATTACCTTAAAAATTGGTGAATAAAAAATCATTGTCAAGTTGCTTTATAAACATAATGAAAACATGCACCATTTCCCTCAATTTATTTGTGAATTCCTCTTTTAGATTGTCCATGCAATAATTTTATTTTACTTTATTACTTCGACAATACATGTACCTTATCTTTATTATACCTCAGCAATCATTGAAATGGCTCATTATATCTCAAAAACAACATACTGTTTGTTAGCACCTAATAAATGTATGTTGAACATTATGTGAAATCTTATCATAATTTATAGAAATAATCAATTATTCATTAAAACATTTTCACCTTAACCATGTTAACATCTGCAAAAATTTGATGACCATCAAGTGACAGTTGCTTTTGAAGCTAACATTAGTTCCAACTTTAAAACTCCAAAGTTAAAGAAAATTTGTTAGATTATTTTAATAACAAACAGAGAAACAAACTGAGAAGGTTCCACACTGCAACTAATTAACGTATTTAATGCTGGACAATGAATAATGAGTTTTTTTTAGTGATATGTTGTTTTTTAGTCATATAAATGGATAATACTGTAAAAGAATGACAAAGAGAACAAATGCCCAATAAATTTAAAGGTTTTAATCGCTTCGATCTTTTTCGTTTTTAATTTAATACCAGATCAGATATGATACCCATTATACAGGTAGAAAGTTAAGGAAATATATGCTAAGATCAAATTACTGGTCCAAAAATTTGCAACAAGGGTTAAATGATTCAATGCTTTCAAAACTATGTTCATTTTATTAACTAATGAATAGGATCATACAGGCTAGGCACTTTTTGAAGTAATGATATTTGTGATGGTTGTCATAATGCATACACATGTTATAAGTTGATAAACATGCATAAAAAGGGGTATTGGTCACATTCTTTTAATCTTAAGATATAACTATTGTGGACAGTTTGAATATAAATATAACATGATGTGGTATGATTACCAATGATTAACTCTCCAAAGGACTAAATGATGTAAAACTTAACATCTACAGGTCACTGTATTAAAATAAGACGTATATGCTGCATGTAAGATCTTGATGAGTCTCGTTTATCATCTTCCTCCACTACACATTGAATTCTAGTCACTTCAAGTTTAAAATCAGCATTGTTTAAGTATAATCAAACGTAATTACATATGACATAATACTTTTATATGTAAAAGATAGACGAAAGATACCAAAGGGACATACATCAATCTAATTAAAATTAAATCTCCGCACTTGCTCCTCGTTGTTTATATGTCGCGCGTGGGAGATCTAACAACAGCCGCTTGAGGGTCATGTCTAGGGTCAAATTTGGTGAACTTTGACCGACCAATCAGCGTGCAGAAAATCAATTTCGATTAACCAATCAGCGACGGGCTTGTATACCATTATCGGATCGTTAAAAAACATGGATGCGCCCAGTTGGGACAACGTTTTTGACAAAAGTTTTGCCAAAATTTGGTATAAATGATATAAAGAAGGAGCAAAAGGAAATTTTAGAGTGTTAAGTTAACAAGAAGAAGTGCGTGGCTGTACTACCGACTGGTTTTGGCAAGACACTGCCGTTTCAACTGTACCTTCCAGTTGTCCGGGAGGTTATTGAAAACAGTTCTGACTGAAAAGTTTTAGTCTGTTGTCCCTTAGTAGCTCTGATGCAGGACCAGGTGGAAAAACTCTCGCACATTGGAAATATATCTGCTGCATACAAAGGTTAGTATAACTTTAAGCATGCAGTGGTAGTAAGGCTTCAATAAATGGAATAGTCTATACTATAGTATTTAATGCCAATAAACACCTAATTTATATTATAATTATTATGTTGGCAGTGTTGTATAATAAAGATGTTTATAACACATGAGAAATCAGTTAGGGGGTGACATGTTATCCCCCTGTACAGTGGCGGATCCAGAACTTTTTGTAAGGGGGGCCCACTGACTGACCTAAGAGGGGGCCCGCTCCAGTCATGCTTCAGTGATTCCCTATATAATCAACTAAATTTTTCCAACAAAAGGGGGGCCCAGGCCCCCCTGGATCCGCCTATGCTGTTTGAGCTACTTATATAATTAATGCAATGCCTCTATCTTACAAAAATGTATTAAGACATTATTCCCACACCTTATGGTGTCTAGATGCAGGGCCCTCTTTTCCATAGTCCTGGATCCGCATCTGACCAGGCAAAGATGTACATGTATGCCTTATCAAATAAAATAAAATTTATTTGCAGGAACATACATTTAAACTTCAGTATATCAACACATACACATGACTAACAGTAACAAAGCAGTAATATGAAACTTAGATATACATGAGCAAAGTTAAAAAAAAAACTGCAGAAGCAGTTGATCATAGCCATGGTAGCACATAAATTTGTCTCATTTCACCGAGAACAGATTGTATCGGTCATATTGCCAGTATTTTACAGTCGTTTTGGCCATAATGCTAGTTCTTCATACTTTGTATAAAGATATATACTACATGTTGTATTAATGAAGCACCAGAGTCCAAGGGAAATGTTGTTAATTACATGTACTAATAATCTATCTCAAAACAAATATACATGCATATAAGATTAAGAAGATGTCGTACATGTACAAGACTTGAAGTAAAATTGCCAACTCAACTCTCCACCAGACAACAAATGACAAAGTTTACAACTATAGGTCACCATCTGACCTTCAACAATGAGCAAAATCATACAGCATAATCAGCTTTACATGGCTCAGAAACGTGCGGGAAACTTAATTTTTAAATTAGATTGTTATTTGTCATGTTTGTGTTAAACAATGAAAAAATAAAAAAAAAATATGAAAAAGTGCAGTCTAAAAGACCTTGTTGGATGGCCAAACAGATACATTGGCAGAAACATCTCACAATCGAGAAAATATGCTATGCATTCATTGAAATCTCAGCTATATTCATTTCTGTATTGGACTTTAAAACAATAAGAATTATTTCATTGGATTTCAATCTTTAATCAAACGCAGTGAAATGGAGAAAGGGTATTTGTACAGTGTACATTTAAATTATAGAAGTTATCATAGAAATATGTCTTTTTGGAGACTGCCCACCTACATTTTTTTTTGCGTTTTAGGATCATCTTCCCCAGAGTGACGATCAAATCAAAGAGGGGTTGATAGATGTCATTTTTGCATCTCCAGAAACATTGGTTGGTGATCCCTATTGGAGAACTTGTTGAAAGAAGTTGAACATTAAGTTGGTTGTAATTGATGAGTTTCACACAATAGCAATTTGGTAAGTGGATACAATGTTTATTCCCCATGTTCATTTCTATTCGCACATTTACAGGACGTATTATGGTATACCGTTGTCTATATAAAAAAGAATAGTGGTAGGATTGCCAATGAGACAACTCTCCACAAGTGACCAAATGACACAGAAATAAACAACTATAGGTCACCGTACGGCCTTCAACAATGAGCAAAGCCCATACCGCATAGTCAGCTATCAAAGGCCCCGAAATGACAATGTAAAATAATTCAAACGAGAAAACAAAAGGCCTAATTTATGCATAAAAAATGAACGAAAAACAAATACAAATGTATGTAACACATAAACAAATGACAACTACTGAATTACAGGCTCCTGACTTGGGACAGGCACTATAAAGAATGTGGCAGGGTTAATTAAACATGTAAGCGGGATCCCAACCCTCCCCTAACCTGTGACTGTCTTTCAATCGTCAACCTGTCAGACAGTAACTCAAAAACTATTCAACTAATTTGCATGAAACTTTGATGAATTGTTTCTATATATTGATGTGTACTCCCTTCCCATTTTTATGAATTTAGATTTTCAAAAATATAGAAGTAAAAAATTAAGACCACTGGTACAGAACTGTACAGCTTTCAAGAACGAGATAACCTAATACTAAAAAGTAAGCTCTTTTAAGACCACTACTTGCAAAATGATGAACCATTACAATGTAATTATAAGAATGTATGAAAAATAAAACCCTAAACAAATGTGATAGACAGCAACCAACAACAACCACTGAATGATAGGCTGTTACATAACAATATGGACAAGCACATACATGTATTTAATTTTGTTTTGCCATAAGAATTAACAATCTAGGCAAGAGGTGCTGATATTTACCTTTTATAAAAGTTTTTATAGAAGTACTTATTTCTATTTTTCTTTCAGGGGCCAAGATGAAGGA